TATATATATATATATATATATATATATATATATATATATATATATCACACTGCCTCATATCTCTCATCACAAGATCCTATTGTGACAACCAAATTTTTTGCTAAGGTGCTAACCAATGTCCCAATTATAAAAACTGGGTGCATAGCGTCCCTGAGCCAACTAAATATGTACATCACACAGCGCACTATTAAGGATGCTGATTTACATCACAATAAAAAAATTGATGCAACATATCCCTGAGCCCACTAAACTAAATATTTTATCAATGTAGTCATTGCCACCAATGACACTACTCGTACTAGACCCACCTTTATAGTTTAAATAATCAAGTTATTTTCTTTTGCTTGACAAATACAAATGGGCACCTATATGGTGCCAGTTAATTCACAGCCAAAAGCAAGCTTTTTATAAGAAGTTTGATAAAATATCACCACAACCAAAGTAGCATCCATCTCTGATTAGTCACCTCACTAAAACTAGCCCTAAGTGCGTATGTTCTGATCCCACTGTCACCACCAACAGTGCACCAGCATCACATTGCCACTCCTAATAACACGCAAAGGAAACTAATAAGAGAAAAAAGGCAACTGCCATTTCTTGTGGTGTGGACAAAAATATACAAGCCCAAGAGGTATATTAGGTACGGTATATTTCCACAAAGAGGGTTCATAATGATATATTTCATGTATTAGCACTTACAAATTACAGATGAAATGTCGTTGGCTTCCAATACTTCTCAACCTGACCCAATGTGGCCCACATTCCAATCATTCCACTAATGCAATCCCGGCAGTTATCTCTAGAAGTTACAAGTAAAAAACAAAAGTTCAAGCATCTGAGATATAGTGGATTGAGAAATCCAAGATCTGCCACTTGTTGCTCCTTTTTATTGTTTTCTGGCACAAGATTCTCTCTCTCTCTCTCTCTCTCTCTCTCTCTCTTTGCTCATGCAAAATGTCACATTTCAAGTTTTATTGAAGTCTTATGAAAATTTCTTCAATTACATCTGAAAACCAAAGCAAATAACTCCGGGATCTAGTAACTTCACAATAACATCTAGAAAAACAAAGAGAGAGAGGCCAATTTCAGATTCCTTGTTGCTAAAAAGCATCAAACTTAAAGTGGAAAAAGCAAAGGAATGTGCAGTATCACAAGCCTGGACCAAAGCAGAATTTTATGTCACAAGAAAAGAAAGCCAACTGGAACATATTACCTAAGATCTTTGCTTCAACAAATATCACATGAACAATTTTGCAGAGGAAGTGTGAAACAATTTAGAATTTCCAATGAGCCTTGAGTCTATCTCTAGGATTTTTAATTTATTGTAGTCCAAACAACAAAATTGGATCAATCCACACCATCTTACTTCTGTCACTGTCAATTGAATGGGGCATAGTGCTGAAACACCAAATCTGAATGCATAACTAGCTGACTTGGCTGTCAAAAACCAAGATCTATCCATCCCTACTACAAATCAAAACTTGATCTACCTGCAACCCAGAGTAAAATCAACTTTTCAGAAAACCACAGAAAGTAAATACTACCATAGCATCCCAGATCTCTTGGAATCAGATCCCATTTATGTAACCTACTTAAACCCTGTACTTAGCCTGCCCAAACTCACGAGATAAACACACTGAACACTGCACAAACCCAAAAAAGCCAACATAGCACCAAGTATACAGGGAAAACCCAGATCAGAATATGTAGATTGGCCAACAATGTCCCGGATTCACTAGACACATTAACAACAAAAATTCTCTAAACCCCAACAAACAACAAACATGCATAACTTCACAAAAACACAAAATCCATAGAATATACAGAAAACCCAGATCATAAAACGAGAATGGTAGTGAAAAATGTCACCTCTCTTGACCAGCAGTGTCCCAAATCTGAGCCTTGATGACTTTCCCATCAACATTCAAGCTTCTAGTAGCGAACTCAACACCAATTGTAGACTTGGACTCGAGACTGAACTCGTTCCTAGTGAACCTTGAAAGCAAGTTCGACTTGCCAACACCCGAGTCTCCAATCAGAACCACCTTGAAGAGGTAGTCATAGTCATCTTCAGCCTTATACCCAGCCATTACCCTTTAACACCACTACACTGTCCACACTACTACTACTCTCTCTCTCTCTCTCTCTCAATATAAAGATGATGTCGAGGACCTTTTCAGTACTAAAGGAGGAGAAAAATGGGGGTGTGAGATGTTTCTCTCTCTCTCAAGTGTTTCTCACTGTAGATCTTCTTTCTTGGTGTCTTTTTGACCCATCTTTTGAACGGAAAATGGGAGAGACCAGTACCACTGTCTTCTCTACTCTGCTGGGCTGGACTCCAATGGCAACGGAGAGGATTAAAAGGAATCCCACAGCGAATGACTTAATGGACCTTCTTGATTAGTGATTTTGTTAAATCCTTTTAGCAAATTAAGAACCAGATTTGTTACAACTACTCGGAAGAAGGGGGAAAAAAAGAAAAAAGAAAAATGTTATTTTGATTTAAAATATTGATATTTTAAGTTTAAGTAGCATTACTCAAAAGGAAAAAAAAAACTTCAACCTCTATTTCTGTTTCGCATTCCCTCTTTGATTTAGAACTAGGGTTGTCAATGGATTAAAATTGGATTGGATCAAGCTCTGTTTAGATCCGAATACCATAAAAAAAATTTAGTTTCGAATTTGATCTATTTATTTGATAAATTTTAAAATCTTAATTTATATTCGTATTCGTTAATAATCGGATATCCGATTCGATCTAAAAATTTAAATTCTAACAAAATTTCATAAAAATAATAAGAATTTTATCAAATATAAGTTAACTTTTAACTTTATTTAATTAATCAATTATTCTATTCAATAATTTCTATTTAATTTCATGTTAATTTTATCAAAATTCAAATTCATTTAAAGAAACTTAATCGAATTTGAATAAAAAATTTAAAATATTAATTTTTATCCGATTAATATAGACTCAAATTCATCTATTAACAAACCTACTTAAAACTACTATCAACCATGAATACGATGGACCGAGTAGAAAATGAATAATTTTCCATAATGCTCGGACTTACTTTCTTCTCAAGGTTAGGTGTTTGAAGATGAGATTATTAATATAATAATAAGATGCTTTTACATTAACACAAGGCTAATTTTGTAATTTCATGATGTTGTAATTATGTTCGCCACTTTCGGTGGTAGTAGTGGTGGCGGCGGTGTTGGGTGTGAAATGTGGTCACATTACAGGTTTAGCATGTTGGGGGCAATTTACATTTTCATATAGGTCATTTTTTATCACGAACCCCAAAAAAAAAAAAAGTACATTTTGATAGGCAATTTATACTCTTAAATTACCCGTTTGATGGGAAAAATTATTTTAAATTAAAGGATTTTTTAAAGTTTTAAAGTTATTTTAAACACGGATTATTATTAATATATTTCTATTGTTTGTACCTCCAGTTATATCAATTAGATTTTCAAAGTTTGAATATAATTTTAATTTAATTATTTCTTTTTATATACATAAATTTTTCCACACAAAATGACTTCACGTGACTAACACGTGATAGTTGTGTTTGTCTGGCAATTTTTTTTTCACTTGGGCTAAATAACTTTATTTTCTTTTTCATTTTATTTTGAGAGACACAAGATAACAATCTCAAAAAAAAGAGGAAAAAAAAAGAAAAAGAAAAGAAAATATGAAGATACATAGAGAGAGTCAAAGAGAGATCAAGAGCCAGGGAAAAATACCAGTGGATTTAAAATTATAGGATAAATATATTCTGTATTGGACAAATATACTGTTTATTGGACAAATATATTGGTAGAAACAAGTATAAACATCTTGAATCACCTTGAAATATTTTGAAATATCTTAAAATATTAAAATTTTGATTTAATTTCTGACCCATTTTGATCTCTTTAAAAACGAAAAAACAAAAAACGTTTTGATTATTTCAAAACAAAATTTTGAACTTTGGAAAATACATTAAATCTGTCATATTCTAATACTGTCGAAACTTCGTCCATGTCTAGCTCACCAATCATACAGCTTGACTCATGGAAGTAGGGGTACAAACAAGGAATATAGGTCTCATGTCCACCAAAAAAGGTTTCAAATTGATAGAATAAGCTTTTAAAAGTTCAATACAAGTCTTAGCTAAGATATTAGAAAAGATGGTGAAAGATTTTTTTATGGAAAGGAAGCGGAGAAGAAAAAAAAGATTACTTAATTAGAGGAGAATTTGTCTCTGATCAAAAAAAAAAAAAGTTGTGTCAAGATCAAAAGAAAAGCTAGGTTGGTAATAGGTAGGTAATTTGGTTAAGAGAAATGCAGCTTTGTTGAGAAAATGGTTTTGAAGGTTTCGTTAGAATCTGATTCTTTGTCACATTTTATTATGAAAAGTAAATATGAAATCCACTCTAATTGATGGAATTCTAGAGTGGTAAGTAAAGGATCATCTCGAAATCTTTGAAAATGTATTTTTCAAGGTTTAGAGAATTTTAGAAAACACATTACTTTCAAAGTGGAAAATAGAAAGAGTTCATTTTTGAGAGGTAAACAACAATAAGTTGCTCCATACTATAACGTTTGACCTTTTTCAAACCCCACAGTGATAGTAAACTTGTGCTTTGAGCCGCCTTTTTTTAACTCCATGGTTCTAACTTTTTTCTCTTGTTTGAATTGGAGAATTGAAAAAAAAAAAGACACTAATTAATACGATTAATGTAAAGAATTGAATTAAAAAAATAAAGAGGTATTCTACGAAAGAAGCTATATTTCAGTTTTTTTTTTGGTCATTATTGCAAAATCTACCGGGAAAGAGGCAAGTAAAGTTCGAACCCACAACCTATTGGTCCAACGGCAGGCTGTGGAGCCATTAGGTCACCACTCACTTCTATATTTCAGATGATAAATATGAAATTTCTTGTTTCTTTTTTCTGAGTGAAAATAGACATGAATTTACATTCTCATTTGTTCAAAGGTAATTTGTGTATTGCTTTTATTTTCAGGCATTTTGGTGCTCCCCAAAGAGATTGTGAAGCCACATTTTCCTCACTAATTAGCTGCTAATGAAAGATTTCCATGCTGCAGAGTGAAACTAGTACAAGTTCATTCAAGTATTGCCAAACATACACAAATACATATGGATAGGTACTGAGACTTCAACTTCTACGATCAAAATCAAAACATTCACCCGATAAATGTGACATTAATGTCGAATCATGCATTAGGACATCCACAAGTAGACAATTATTACAACTTGAACTTAGAACGTATGAATTTCTCTTTTCATCGCTTTTCTTTCTCTTTCGAATGTCTGTTTTTTTTCTTATACGGGAAAACTTACTGAAGGTGGAGAAGCAAAAGCTTCCAAGTTCCCCAGTCTGGCTATATTGGACCTATCAACAAGTGGAGGCAGTGAGTTTTTGACCCTCCACAGCATCACCAACTGCCAGCGACAAGTATCGGAAACAAAAAACACAGCTGAGTTTTTTGTCAAATGAGCACCAATTAAAAGTTTCTTAATCTAACTTTGAATCTGAAATTGAGTGCTTGCAAAACAGAGAGCACAAACTGAACTCACCGATCATAGCATTGGAAGTTGACACCAAGCATAGATCTTAGACAGGAACAGGACTTTTTTCTAAGATCTCTTTCCCTGTAATGCCATCTTCCAAAGTTTTGAAATATACTTCATAATCTTTCTCAGGTGGAGGGTTTTCAGGGTCCACCGTGTATGGCTCACTAAATGGAATTACACTCTTAACCTGCAAAATATATGGAGTAACAAAGCAGCATGTTATCATGGTCCAACACCCACTTCGAGACATCTAATTTTCATGGTCAGTAGTAGTGTTAGTTAAGCATCAAGCAAGAGATGACTTAGCAGACCTCGGCCTCATCAGACATATGAATTAGTGCTCTGTCCTGTGCATTAAGGAGTTTGTATCATGCACATTTTAAAAAAATAAAGTAAATATAACCCCCACATGATAGTCCCTCGGAGATTTTTAATGTAAAATCACGCAAATAAGAAAGAAAGAATGCCCCATTCTCCTCCATGACAGTGCACCATGTGACCAATCAACAAAAGTGGGATTAGAACAGTTTCGGCAGACCTGACACAATAAGGCTTCAAACACACAGCACTACTGAGAGACCTTAACAATACCTGATCACATTGTACTGGAATGAAAAGATTACCACTATCATGTTCAACAGACTGCAGGAGAATATTTCAGTTTCATAAGAGGATGAGATCTTATGAGCTTGAAAATTTCCGCACAAAATACATCGTTGTTTCAAACGAGATGGTATATCATGCTGCGACTCTGGGAAATTAATCAAGATGGCAATTATATCTTTGCAAATGCATGGTGTAAGTAGGCGGGCTTTGTTCAGATGAAATTCTTTAAAATAAACTTTTCAGGAAAATATATAATGGATACAACTTGAACTATCTAGAAATTCTCAAGTAAGGGGATATGAGGCCTGGCCGCCTGGGGGAGGGGTATGAAAATTGTATTGCTAAATTATGTGGGCACTTACAAACAAAACATAATACAGCAAAATGGAAAAGCATACTTATGTAATTCACCGAGGAGATAATCACATGAACCTTGTTAATTGGCAATAAAAAGCAACAGGAGAAATTGAGAGTAATGGTGGTATGCAATATGCAGAAAGCTATATAAAAGTATGACCTCCAATGTCTTGCCACATGCATATGGGCTTTCCAGTGCAGCAACACATATTCGTGCAATCTCCTCCCTTGATATCTTCCCCTGTATATGTCAGATACAAAAAATGTCAATTGATCAACCAGAAGCTAGGTCAATTACCCGCAAAAAACAACCTAACATCTGAGTTTTCATAGATCATGTTAGTTGCTATAGAGTAATGTGGCCAGAAGATTGCAATGCCTTAACAGATATAGAGCCAAGCATCAAGATACCCTCAAAACAAAAAATAAAAAATAAACGTTTGATTCGATGATAATACCGTTATATTGTCTCCTTGTTCAAAAATGAGATCAGCTCCTGCAGGCTCCTCAGTTAACGCACAAGGCCTAACAATCGTATACGGAATTCCACTTTCCCGTATCAAATCTTCCCCCTATCAGAAAACTGACCAATATTAGAAATGGAAAAAGAACCGAGAGACAACCTAGACTCCCAATATAGCTGTCTCATAGTACTGATTACTAAGTGGCATTATCCAAGTTGAATGTGCTACGAGTATTACTGACGGTAAGGGATGTAGGTCAAGCAGGATAAAAAAAAACCTGATAAAAACTATGATAAACAAATGGGGTATGCTCAGTACACTTAAATTGGCATTTTCTCACTAGCAAATATGATAATCCCAATTTTCACAATAAAACATGCAATTTAACAGGTCATGAAGCAGCAAACACGGGGAAAGAGGGAAAATGGTTTATACACTCATTATCCTTGTAGGAATTTCACTTCAAAAACAATAGAATGATAAGAGATTCAAAAATGAAGTCAGATCTTCTACATTCATTTTGATTATGATAATACTATTTGGACCTAAAAATTTAACCTAATTTGCTGAAATAATGATGTAGCTTCATAGAAATTATTTTATCAACACCAAATTCCAATGTTTAATGGGGTCTACAATGAAATCAAAGGTTATAGTGAATTAGGTCAACAAATTAAGTGCCAATAGCATTGTTCTTTGATTATTTCCCATACCATGAAGGAGGTAAAGAATTCACCTTGGTAAAGTCTACCATAACTAAATATGGATAAAAGGTTCTGTCTGCTTGGAATAACAATTGTGCTTTAGATTCCAAAAATAGCTTCCAAGATCAGACATTTATCTTCAATTCTTATGATATACACGTGCACTACACAACTATCTTTCATTCAGAATTTTTCATTGTTAACTTAGGCATCCTTATTTGATCAGAACAGTCAACAATTTTATGTATAAATACAAACTTGAATAGTACAACAGGGGAACCACTGTTGTTTGCATGTGCAGGGAAGCCAGGGGTTCTCCCTTATTCGTGCAACAGAAGGTGCCCCATGAGGTAATTTGGCAGGTAAATTTAGATGATAAGTTCTGTAGGTGGACCTTATACACTTTTTATGTAATGTTTATTCACATTGCGCCAACCGTCATTCAATCGTGACAGTCCGACGGAGTGAGTTGTTGGGGCATTGATCGCCATTACAGGAACCCAAGAAGAAGTCTGGTGAATGATACCCATAATCTTTACACACACTCAATCTCCTATAAAGTATTAACCAAACTACTAAAGTTTTGAAATATACGCTAAGAACAAAACGCATGGAAAGGGTATGAAACCTTCAACTTAAACGTAAGAATGAAGCCCAATTCCTTGTTCAAGCGGACAGCAGGTGGCTGTTTGCTTAAATCAAGTCCAGGTCTATCAGGTCTGGTTACCCCAGCAGAGCTCACATGTACCAACCTATCGAAACATTAAAGTTGGTAAAAACAAAAGTACAGGTTTACACAGATTAGCCCCCCCATACAATACCTCAGTTAAATTCCAACAAACATAAAGGAAGTATTAAACCTGGGAGTGATGGGATCCTTTATATATGCTCTTATACTTGATATGGGAAGCTGAAATGGACCTTCAACAAAGGTTGGATTCAATTTTCCATCATATTCAAACTTGCTGAACATAAGCTGTAGCGATTTTGAATCATTCATCAATCAAATGATGGCAGAAATTAATGAAGCAGAAAGACTTAAAAATAAGAGTAGTTGCAGAAGCATGCCTGTAATGATACAATTTGGCTTGGATCAAAGGGTGGTGCATCTGCTACAGTTCGTGCTCTAAATATAGGCCTCAAAGAAGAAAATGGCAAACGTACCTGAATGCAATGTATCAAATATTGAGAATGAAGACAGTTGAACATAAATCCTTGGACATATGGTTGTGATGTCACTAACCGATTGCCATTGGCCTTCTACAGTGTCAAAGCCTGCTGTATAACCCACAGTATCCCAATCACGGCTGGTGCGAACAATAAATTTATAACGACGGCCATCACCTTTAACGTGCAGCTCTAAACCATCATATGCCGAAAGATCTTCTGGTATTGAAAAATTCTGCGAACATAAAGAATCTAAATCCTCATTAGACAGTGACAGGGTAATACTATTCCCACAGTATAAAAGGCCCCAAAGATAGATCTTGCGCTGTTCCTTAGCTTATAGCACAATATAATTCAAGCCATGAAAATCACCAAATTAATGAATACAGTATGTGGTTCTTCTTATTAGTCACTGTTTGGGGGAAAACAGAGCAAAGAAACCACATAGATTTATGTCATGGATATCTCAGCATGATTGAAAATTACAAAGAGCCCTTTCAGCTGTAATCTTACCAAAAAGATTTAAGGAACTAAACTTTTGATCACAAATCACTTGGGTTACAGGGGAAAGGAAGGTCACTACCCAAGGCTAGTCCCACCAATCAAAAGTGCTGGAGAGGTGAATGAATATGTTACACGGGATTGACAGGACCAACATTCAATAATGGTCTGGCGAGGTTATCGTGGGTGTCAGTTTAACAGATACAGCAGGAAGATTAATTATCACATGGATTTAAGGGCTACAATAATTAATTGCATCACGTCACAAAGAATCCAATGATTTAGGGTATGCTGAATAAGTCTTCTTCAAAATTCAGTTTTCTTAAGGTCATATCCTCATAAATAATAGACCACCATGCCTCCTCTTTTACCAAATTGACCACATACTTTCTGAATCCTGTTTAATTTTCATGACACCTTGAGCTCGAATCAATTGGAGTGACCAAACATAATTAAAAAAAAAAAAAAGNTATACGCTAAGAACAAAACGCATGGAAAGGGTATGAAACCTTCAACTTAAACGTAAGAATGAAGCCCAATTCCTTGTTCAAGCGGACAGCAGGTGGCTGTTTGCTTAAATCAAGTCCAGGTCTATCAGGTCTGGTTACCCCAGCAGAGCTCACATGTACCAACCTATCGAAACATTAAAGTTGGTAAAAACAAAAGTACAGGTTTACACAGATTAGCCCCCCCATACAATACCTCAGTTAAATTCCAACAAACATAAAGGAAGTATTAAACCTGGGAGTGATGGGATCCTTTATATATGCTCTTATACTTGATATGGGAAGCTGAAATGGACCTTCAACAAAGGTTGGATTCAATTTTCCATCATATTCAAACTTGCTGAACATAAGCTGTAGCGATTTTGAATCATTCATCAATCAAATGATGGCAGAAATTAATGAAGCAGAAAGACTTAAAAATAAGAGTAGTTGCAGAAGCATGCCTGTAATGATACAATTTGGCTTGGATCAAAGGGTGGTGCATCTGCTACAGTTCGTGCTCTAAATATAGGCCTCAAAGAAGAAAATGGCAAACGTACCTGAATGCAATGTATCAAATATTGAGAATGAAGACAGTTGAACATAAATCCTTGGACATATGGTTGTGATGTCACTAACCGATTGCCATTGGCCTTCTACAGTGTCAAAGCCTGCTGTATAACCCACAGTATCCCAATCACGGCTGGTGCGAACAATAAATTTATAACGACGGCCATCACCTTTAACGTGCAGCTCTAAACCATCATATGCCGAAAGATCTTCTGGTATTGAAAAATTCTGCGAACATAAAGAATCTAAATCCTCATTAGACAGTGACAGGGTAATACTATTCCCACAGTATAAAAGGCCCCAAAGATAGATCTTGCGCTGTTCCTTAGCTTATAGCACAATATAATTCAAGCCATGAAAATCACCAAATTAATGAATACAGTATGTGGTTCTTCTTATTAGTCACTGTTTGGGGGAAAACAGAGCAAAGAAACCACATAGATTTATGTCATGGATATCTCAGCATGATTGAAAATTACAAAGAGCCCTTTCAGCTGTAATCTTACCAAAAAGATTTAAGGAACTAAACTTTTGATCACAAATCACTTGGGTTACAGGGGAAAGGAAGGTCACTACCCAAGGCTAGTCCCACCAATCAAAAGTGCTGGAGAGGTGAATGAATATGTTACACGGGATTGACAGGACCAACATTCAATAATGGTCTGGCGAGGTTATCGTGGGTGTCAGTTTAACAGATACAGCAGGAAGATTAATTATCACATGGATTTAAGGGCTACAATAATTAATTGCATCACGTCACAAAGAATCCAATGATTTAGGGTATGCTGAATAAGTCTTCTTCAAAATTCAGTTTTCTTAAGGTCATATCCTCATAAATAATAGACCACCATGCCTCCTCTTTTACCAAATTGACCACATACTTTCTGAATCCTGTTTAATTTTCATGACACCTTGAGCTCGAATCAATTGGAGTGACCAAACATAATTAAAAAAAAAAAAAAGATTTTGGAATGATTCCATTTTCTAATTTCCCATACATGAGACTAGATCCAGACTTTGATATACCCATTTCATACCATTCGAAAAGAAAAACCCAGCTCAATCATGTTGCGACATGTCAAGTGTAATAATATGTATAGGAAATTAAGCATATATGAGGAAAAACAATGTTCAGGATATAAAAAATAGAAATTTTAAAACAGTATGTTTCACCTTTGTTCTGATACTAGTAAAACCCCCGTTGTTTGCAGTGGAAACAACACCTGAAAAGAACACAATAAATAAATGTTTATTAATGGAATGCTATGCATCACTATAAGACTGTAATAACATGCTTACGTTTTTTCTTTTAACATGAATACAGGTCAATGGATGTAAGGATATGGAAAAAAAAAACCTCTGAAAAGGCCAGTCGATCCGCCACTTTCACCACCATTAGGATCTACTTGGAATGTGCTTTCACTAACTCCCCCCATCACAACATCATCTAAAGCACCCCAAGGCAGTTCTCTAGATGAATTGTCTGCACGGTATTATGAAACTTAAGTAGACTGTAGAGGAAAGATTCTTAAGTGGCAAAACTTATAGAAACAAGTTCCATCAACAGTATAGAGAAAAGAAAGGAACTGGACAAGGATCAGATATTGTTTCAAAACGGTCAAAACTTAGAACGGCCAAAACATTTCCGTTGGAACCAAATAGAATCAATGATTGAATATCGAAATTCCAATGTTTAGAGGTCCTTTAGAATGTTTCGATGTACTTCAACTAGTGTTTCGGAAACAAAATTCTAAATTTTTTCTCCGTTCCCATTTTGTTTTTCTGAAATGTTTCTGAAACATTCCCAAAACCTTTATGTTCCTAGATGACTGAAACAATGCACCGAAATAAAATTTTAATCCTTTGGATGTAGGTGATAATCGCAAACTCTACACTATAAGCTAGATTGGAAATTTGCCAAAGTACATGAAATAGCCAGTAGGGCTTCCGTGCTGGTCTAATTACTAGAAGTACAACATGTTGTGCGTTCATCGGTAAATTATGTACAACTCAACTGCATCATCTCTGAAGTACTTAATATTCAGCAAAGAATTATGGATCTCAACTGCGTCAGAGTATAGTAATTCCAATCCATCGTTAGCTAACTCATCCTCTGCATATAACTTCTGTGCGCTTGTACTGACCACCAGTATAACAGACTTTAATTTTGAACAAGTAAATCAATTCAACATGATAAACTAGCCAACTATAGCTTAAAATTGTACTTCAGGCATAAATTCTTTCCTTACATTAACCAAAAAAGTGCTCATTTAATTCTGTGACATGGTTGGATGGCAATCAACAATTTTTGTTTCCAAAATCGCACCTTCAAATCCATATACTAGTTTTCCATTTTGAAGTCCAACGCTGTCCTTTACAGCGTTAATAAGATTTTTCATCCCAATGTACTCCACCATTTCAGGTGAATCGCCTTTTATCTGCTTCCATTAACCAAATGAAACTCCATTGTAAATTGATATGGACTTAGAAATCGAGATAAAGAAAAACTGAAAGCTGAAGTTGCAAATTAAGCTCCTTATTATAGTACAAATCTGACTCCTGATAAATTTGCTAGGCAATCAATTCACCACCTCTGGTTCAAAGAACTTGATTCCCTGTACAAAATCATACTTGAATGGTCAGTGTACAACAGAAAGCGAAGATCAATAGAAAACCAAAGCAGGCAAACTTCAAAGCAATGAAGGTAATAAAAAGAACAATAATTCAGTGGAAAGTAGGATTAAAATCTTGTTTATAAAACAACTCAACTTCATCAAAAGGCAAAAATAACAAAACTTTACTTGACTGTACTTGGCCCTCTCAGGAGTGTCTCCTTCCTTTGGCCCAACGATGACTGAAACAGCATTAATGACTCTCTTCACTCCTTTGAAGTACTCAGGAACCAAAGTGCTTGCCTTTGTAACATCTGCAACAATCTGAAATAAAAATAAAAGGAAAATACTGTGTTTCTGGAATGCTGTGTTCAGCTCACACAACTAAATAGATATGCATAATAAAATAGAATAGTTCTCCTAAACGCATTCCAATTGTGGAAGAACACCTGAGTACCCAAGTATGATTCATACTTTCCAATTTCTACACCAGACATCCAAATTGAATCAATAGTTCTAGATTTGTGCAGTTAAAGTTTACACCAAAAAGTTTGTATAGGGAATCTTCTTCAAAGAACGATGAAATGGAAGTTCAAATTCCCTGTTCAATACATGCAATATCACAAGTTTATCGACACCCGTATGAACTATGGTTTAGATGCCTTCAAGTAACTAGCCTGAAATTTAAATGTCTATATTACATGACTCAATAAACAATATGGACCAGCAATATTTTGGTGACATATAATGCAAGGGAAAAGATGTTGTCAACTATGAACTCCTATTAAAGGTAGCTAGCTTACCAAGTTAACATCTGGACCCATCATTCTTCTAGCCTTCTCTTCATTTCTGACCTGAAAAAATATTGATATGAGGACTAAGAAATTCATGAAAAGGAATATGCAACCCCAGTTCTTTTCCATTGCAAAATCAGTAACTAGTAGCAAAAATTTTCCCCCATTTTACTGTCTTAAAGTCATCAACAGCATTCATCAGTTTGACTAGCTCCGTAAGATATTAGGAATACATCAACAAGGAGTAGCAGAATACCAATACTCGAACGGGCAGTCCTTTTTTGCGTAAGATGTCCACTACTCTTCTCCCAACACCACCAGTAGCTCCAGCCACAAGAACAATTCCAGACGTGTCCATTGCCTTGACTGGTTCGCTAGGGGATGGACTGGACAGTTTCTCAATCAGGAATTCGAAGAACTTCACCCAAAAAAATCTTGTCATATGAAACAGTACAGACTTCTAGCATTAGACACATTCATGTCAGATGAGAGACTGAGACCAACCTTAGCCGGAGATGGAGGCCCATTAAAAAAATACAATGTTTTCACGAATCTGCCAAGATCCCAACCTTGTTTCCCAGCTTCTGCATAAATGTAGCCCTTATGTGTTCTCAGGGGGAGATAGGATGTGGTTTGTTGGTCAAGCAAGGTTGGATATCTGTAATTAAGTTGAAGAAATGGTTTAGAAAGCGGAGAAGACAGCACTCCAGGACGTAAAGTTTTCTTAGAAAATCTTCTACCAACAGATGATGAAACACCCTGCAATAGCAGTTGACTACATTATAAAGGAAATATTGAGTCTATTTAAATATGACAACCTATTTTGCAAACTATTCTACAGCTAATATCGTTCAAAAACGCTTGTAAGTCTCAGGAAGTGACCTGTGTATAAATTATTATTCATCTGGTTTCTCACTTTGATAAAGACTCTGGAATGTCATGAAATGCTTCATAATCATGAAGTCTGTAACAAAGATGACTCTGAATGCAGGAATCAGGGAAATGGGCGAAGGAGTAATGTTGATGAAATTACAACAAAATAATTGTGGGAAATGCAATGCATAAAATTTTTTATTTGAAGGTTAATTATCCTAAATGAAACACTTCTTCTCCCCCACCTCCCAAAAAGAGAAAAATAAAAACCAAGAAGGGGGAGGGTAGCAATGGTGAACTAGTTTCCAATTTAAAACAATTAGGAAGACTTTTGGAATTGCCTGTAAAATGAAAGATTACCCACAAATGGTTATGTCAATGAAATTCGAAGTTCAGCAGTCAAGTAGCAAACCAAAATAACTTATGTGTTCATTGAACTGCCAGATGATTCTTGAATTATTCCCTCGGTTGGTCTTCGTTAGGCATCGACATAAATTGAAAGAACACTTCCGTATCAATACGAATGCATTCTAATCTTACAAATATCACCCAAATTACATAATCCTAATCCAAAAATTTCAACATTCCAATCTTTAGGCAGGGTGATAAAACATTCATATTGTTTTTTATTTTCCAACGAACTGAAAGATAAAGATAAGCTGCAAATTTGGAAATGATCTTAACCCATATATTTTTCAAGAGGTTTAATTCCTAAACCATACATTTTACTCAGAATCTCAGCACAGTAAAATACAAAATTACAATCACCATAAGTATCACCACGACAATCAGAAATAAATCAACAAAGCCAAATTTCAATAAAACCAAATGCTTTAGTTTTGGGTAAGTTATCTACTTGGCAAAGGACATAGAACATGAATCAATGCACAAATCACTTCAAACCAAAAATTTGACCAACCTATCCAACAACAACAACAACAGATCCTTACAACCCAAGTGCTGATTCCGACTGACTCACTAACTATAATGTAATTAACTGAAAACTAAAATACGTCCTATACATAGAAAAACATCATATATATATATATATNACAGCACTCCAGGACGTAAAGTTTTCTTAGAAAATCTTCTACCAACAGATGATGAAACACCCTGCAATAGCAGTTGACTACATTATAAAGGAAATATTGAGTCTATTTAAATATGACAACCTATTTTGCAAACTATTCTACAGCTAATATCGTTCAAAAACGCTTGTAAGTCTCAGGAAGTGACCTGTGTATAAATTATTATTCATCTGGTTTCTCACTTTGATAAAGACTCTGGAATGTCATGAAATGCTTCATAATCATGAAGTCTGTAACAAAGATGACTCTGAATGCAGGAATCAGGGAAATGGGCGAAGGAGTAATGTTGATGAAATTACAACAAAATAATTGTGGGAAATGCAATGCATAAAATTTTTTATTTGAAGGTTAATTATCCTAAATGAAACACTTCTTCTCCCCCACCTCCCAAAAAGAGAAAAATAAAAACCAAGAAGGGGGAGGGTAGCAATGGTGAACTAGTTTCCAATTTAAAACAATTAGGAAGACTTTTGGAATTGCCTGTAAAATGAAAGATTACCCACAAATGGTTATGTCAATGAAATTCGAAGTTCAGCAGTCAAGTAGCAAACCAAAATAACTTATGTGTTCATTGAACTGCCAGATGATTCTTGAATTATTCCCTCGGTTGGTCTTCGTTAGGCATCGACATAAATTGAAAGAACACTTCCGTATCAATACGAATGCATTCTAATCTTACAAATATCACCCAAATTACATAATCCTAATCCAAAAATTTCAACATTCCAATCTTTAGGCAGGGTGATAAAACATTCATATTGTTTTTTATTTTCCAACGAACTGAAAGATAAAGATAAGCTGCAAATTTGGAAATGATCTTAACCCATATATTTTTCAAGAGGTTTAATTCCTAAACCATACATTTTACTCAGAATCTCAGCACAGTAAAATACAAAATTACAATCACCATAAGTATCACCACGACAATCAGAAATAAATCAACAAAGCCAAATTTCAATAAAACCAAATGCTTTAGTTTTGGGTAAGTTATCTACTTGGCAAAGGACATAGAACATGAATCAATGCACAAATCACTTCAAACCAAAAATTTGACCAACCTATCCAACAACAACAACAACAGATCCTTACAACCCAAGTGCTGATTCCGACTGACTCACTAACTATAATGTAATTAACTGAAAACTAAAATACGTCCTATACATAGAAAAACATCATATATATATATATATACACACACACACACATATGAATGTCTTGATGCACATGCATATATAAGAAAGTGAAAACCTATAGTATTAACAAAGAGAAAGAGAGTGGGGTTTGGTATCCGAACATAGAATATCTATAAAACCCTTCATTTTTCTTGTTAATTGCACTCAACTATAGTAGACTTCATCACTCAACTCCCATAGCCACCTAAATATCCATTGATTCTATTCCAATCTAATCACACTCTTTCTTTCTTTTTCTAACCAGAAATGTTATTGGACCTAATTTGGTATCTAGTCTGGGGCCTAATCAATTTCAACTGTTGGGTTAAAAGTGAGTTTCATCTACCATTAACTCTCACAACTAATTCAATGATTGTAATGAATTAGATTCGTGATTAGAAAGCCATATAACCCAAGTACAAATTCTTCCCGAGTAGCTGCATACCTAGCTAACTAACCTATCAACTAAAAGAGTTAGACAACTGAATGAACTGATCCACTACCTTTCTTATCATAAACATTTAAATACCCATGTCCTGATACACATGCACATATCAGAAAGTGGAAATAAGCAAGAATGTAAGAATGGGATTGAAGAATGGGACGTACCTGAAAGTTGAGAATGGTGGAAGATGAGGGTGGTGACGATGGTATGGTGGAACTATAGAAGCAACGCTCCATTTTTTCAGGAGGAAAATTTCACAGTAAGGTGAAGAATATGAAAGGGTTAGTGAAGAGTAAAGATATTTGTTGTGGGTGATAGTGATACTGATATAATCTATATATATTGCATTTTTGAGAGAGTGAATGAATGTACACCACACACAAGCGGGAAGCTTTGAAAAGACTCTGTCTATCTCATCAATCTCATGTCCGACAGTGAAGCTGAGTTCTTCCAGAAAAATCATTTGGGTTCGAGTACCGTGAAGAATGGATTGGGCCTTGTTAGGATTGTTGTACTAGGCCTGTCAATAGAGTCGAATTTGGATTGGATTGTTGTACTAGAAGTGGGCCTTGATAGCCTAAACCAAAGAATTATTGAGGGTAATTTATTTGGATAAAGTTGCACCCAATAGGATTAAGTTATGAAAATAAATAAATAAATTTCAACCTAACAAATCAATCTTAAAATATTGGAATCAATCTAAACCATGCAATCGGGCGGGTCGGGCCTTCATCCATGGAGAGTGCCTCAACGGTCCATGGTGGGCCATTAGTAGGGTAATAAGGCCATTAATAGATCAATTGTCAGTTGGGCTAGCCCATCCTGGAATTTCTAACCCGTAATTCGACCAACCCATTGATCTCCAGAGGAACCCCAATCAGACCTACTCTGCTGGACTTTTTTGGTAGATAACCAAATTTGATTTTTTTTATTTGATTTTTTTTTTTTGGACAAATAAGCTACAATATGGGCCACTAAGAATTAGATTCACCCAATCTCTTCAATCTCATATCATTCAGTGTATATGATCTGGGAATAAAAGAATCGAGAGATTCTCTAGTAATGAAATAGTCAACAGTTCAACCCATACATCATACATGTACATATATATACACTCACATACATGTACACATGTAAATCAACAGAAAAATGAGTAAACCCATTTGGACTTGTCAGCAGGAAGCCCATTACTTTGAATTTTCTGTTTTTGGGATTAGATTTTAAGGACGGTTAAGAACAACGGAAAATGCTGTAATTCGGGAGATAATTCGTCAATAAAAGTGAACACTCCTTACTGTTATCAATCATCTCGCTATTTTGAAAGAATGGAGTGAGGGATGACATTTACATTTTCTAACCCTAAGTTACCCCATTAAAACAATTCAAGGGCTTAGACTCATGTCCTGCTCTGTTCTGCTCCTCGCTTTGAGTAGAATGTGTTGTCTTTCACTCTATTCTTTTCTAATGTCCAGAATAGTAGGACAACAATATTACTGGCTTGGAATCCCCACATGTCCCATAGATTCCAACAATGAAAGAGTGGGACAACAATATTACTGACTTGGAATCCCCACATATCCCATAGATTTCAACAATGAATGATGATTGTGTCGAAATATACATGTTTGATAGTGTATTTTTACGTTTCATCTAATAAAAACTTGATTCTTATTTATTTTTTTTATTATTTTTCATTCAATATTTAATATCAAGATTACTTTCATATAGTTGCTCTAGCTACATATTACCTACTCATGTTTTAGAGGAGTAACAAAATATGAGGACCATCATGCTATGCATGACCAACACATGTTTAGCATGCTATATTATGTTTAGCATAAATAAATAATTATTTCCTTATTTGTTCACCTAGTTACAAGTTATATGCCTATATTTAGATTGGAAAAATTACACTTCGGCCCCGTCAATTATATTTTTTTTAATATTATCCCCTCAACTATCAATTTTTTTACATTGCACTTTCAACTATGTGATTAATTGCACATTATCCCAATAATTAACGCCTGTTATAAATTTGATGAAAAGTTATTTTATTTTGTCTCTCAATCTATGTATTTATTTTTCATTTTTTCATAACAAGCTAACAATTTTTGTCAAAAAAGATAATGGACATTTGTGTTTAGGGTAACAATATTTTTACACTATAGGAGAGGAGGTGGGGAGCTAGGGATGGGAATCGAACGTTCAACCGACCTGCCACGTCCTTGTGGAGAACTTTAACTATCCGAGTAGAACCTCATTATATATACTATTCGTTTGTGAAATAATATTTTTCAGAATACAAGAAAGTGAGCTCAAAAATGTCCATCCAGGGCGGCTAAAGCCTTACACCAAAGAGAAGAAGTTGAACTGAAGAGACAAATTCAGTGTCTTCAAGCATGCTGTTTGACAGTGAAGTGGTGTGGGATTACTCCCACCTAAAACAAAATGATATTATCAAAGTTTTAATCAAATTACACTTAGACCCCCCCAAACTGTGTCTCTCGTTTCATATCACTCCCTATTTTATTTGCGTTCTCACTTTGCACACCTTAGGCTATTGGTTTAAGTTTAACATTGCCCCCGTCGCTGACTTTGGTACAATTTTTTCATGACTAATCAGGAAAAAAAATAAAATCTGTTCAACAGTACAGAAAAATACATCTTCTAAACATTGGAAATTTTCATTCTTGCACTGGTTAGCAGGAAAAAAAACTAGATGTCATACATAATTGGAAGGCAATGTAGATGTCATACATAGTTCACATTTTGTAAATGAGCACTTGCTATCACTCTTGGATTGGCTTTGTACTATTTTCAAAATTTAAACACTCGGAATCTTTGTGCCAACTTTCGACAAATACTATTTTGTGTGGATGAATTTGCAAATTTGCATTCTAATTACAAAGGTGTATGTTGTGTCATATTCCTAGTAAGCTGCGAATGAGAAGAAAATATTCAATGTAACAACGATATCACGTCATCAATGGTACGTGATATCAACAACTAATAATTGTATACCATGTGTGTGTTATTGAATATTTACTCGCGAATATGCCGGTGACAACAACAATAAAACGTTTACATCGCTAAAAAACAGATAGGAGAGAGGGGTAGAATATATAAATAATCTTTACATGTACTTCTCTATTGTGAAAGAGACAATTATTATTAATCGGCAGATTATGTTTTGTGTCTACTGGGATAAGGTTTTAAGAGGAAAACAAAAGGGAAAAATAAATTTATTCATCAGCATCCCTACTTTGCTTTCAATTGAAATTGACTCTGCTGGATTGTATAGACTGTTGTGACTTGTGATTTTTTCAGATATGAACCATGGTCGAGTGAAAACGGGATTGTTCAGTTGTCAAATAAGGGACAAGGCGTGAACCTAAATATATTGAGTTATATTTATTTTTTCGTATACCATAGAACCCAAGTTTAACCATGAATAGTTTGTCGGTAGTTGCATGCTTCCGAAGGTTGCGTTGCAACTTTGATTTCAAAAACGCATGGTTGAGACGATTTTCTTTTACCCTCAAAAAATGAAAAGTATTTGATTTTATTGTTAACAACTTCAATGTAAATATTAACCGATTCAGTTCCTCTCTCTCTCTCTCTCCCTCCCTCTCCTATATAGACACACAAAAACACACAAACAGATAGCTAGACAGACAAAAGTTGCATCAAACGACAAATTTGTGTGGACATTTAGGTATGTGGTACTTATTCTTATCCAGATAAATCTCATCCATCTGACCAAACTTTAAAAATCTGGGTTGCAATTCTAGTTGGTTAAACTTATGGCCCAATCCTAGAAGATGTTACTGAGTACAAAGGACCATGTTGTGCCTGATGACTTTCATCAGACAAGACATTTTTTTAATGTAACATCTGATTTTCATGTGATTCTGAATGATAACTCTTGCTAAAAAAGATATTTATGAACAATTTACTCAAACAGATACTAACCGTAAAATACAAATCATTTTTTTTTTTAAAGCTAGAGATTGATTGAGATACTTTTCATTTCAAGAGTATCTAACCAAATCATAGAGAGAAACATTAATGCTATGATTTGGCAGTAAAATACAAATCATTCTCTTCATATGCTTAAAAAAAATGAATTGTATTTTACCAAATCATATTAAGCATATGAAGAGAATTATGAAGCTAAAGTTTAGCTCAAAAATGGATGAGCTGTAAATTTAGATGTTCTGAGTTTGAATCTTGATAATTTCTTGAAATCAAGGCACTTTAGTCTCGGCGTAGATGATTTGCCTTTGTCTGGATTAGAGAGAAGATTAATTAAAGGACTCGTAAGCTAACTCGGACTCCTCTCACTATAAAAAACTGAAACTGAAGTGTAGCAATTATACATGATCTCAACAAAGTGGTTTCTTTTTGACTTCTACACTGGACATTGCCATGTGACTCTGAAAACTTGAAAATGTTTTCTGCCATCTAAGTTCAGACAATATAATTATTTATAGCTTTGTGTTACATACGGAAAACTTTCATACTCTAATATTTGGGGAGACCAAATGGTTTTGACTTCATTTTAATCATATTTCATAAAAGCTTGCCCTCGTATTTGTAGCTTGGCTAGTTATGGATGTACACAAGAATGCTGCTTGTGCCAACTTAAAAATTACCATTTAACGTGATAAAATAAAACCGCTATACCAGATAAATATCATATCAAAACACATAATCCAATAGTTATAACTTACAACTCCTTTGGTGTCAAGTTACAACTGAAAAATCGGTTATGACTCAACAGAGTCAAGTTATCACTAAACAAGTTGAGATTAATCCTCCGAGCCTTCGATTAGATTTTTACACAATTTACTTCAAAACTTGAAGACACAACAATCTTTTTCATTAATAAAAACAATCGTAGACTATATTTCAAATGGATTGTAGGGTTTCTGGACCCAATGTTGAGTAAGGGTTTCATATCTTCCCAAAAAAAAAATGGAAATACCATGAAACCATTACCAGATAAAAAATGTGTCATTTTATCTATAGAGTTCATTACAGTTACGACAATTCACTTTAAAATAATTTTTAAATATAAAAATATCATTGCAATCGTACCACTTTTCATAAATAGAAAATCAAAGAATTCATTCCATTACTGCCCTATTGGGAATACTAGTTAGTTAAGCATCCTACATTTGATTCATTTTTTTGAATTAACTTAAGCAAGTTATGTCTATTTTATTTAACTTACTAAAATATTGTTTATACTTAATTTATTGACTTAATACATCTTATTTATTGAATTAATAGCGATTCTCAATTAATAATAAAGTTAATATCAACAAAAAATAATTAAATCAATAAATTAAACCAAAAGACAATTACTCTTTTAACTAAATTGGAAGCTAAGAACAAAGCCAAAAATGGGGTTTTTCATCTGTATTTGCCTTTGTGGGTGGGTAGCTTTAAAGCTTCCCAGAAGGTGAAGACGTCACTTTTGCACTGAAACTAAGGTACATGTGCATTCAATGTAATAGCTAACTGAAGAACTGTCGATTGCCTCGACTATATGATGCCTTCTGGTCTACTCTAATCATGAATTACAGCCGTCACCAGACCTAGTCACACCGGAATATTTTTTTTCTGAGAAAATCTTTAATATTATTTCCTTCATATTATTGTTTTTAAATATTTTTTTAGTTCAATGAATAAAGAGTATCTAAGTCAACTAACATACACTTTGATTAATTTATTTTTCGATTTTGGTCAATGATAGGTCATCAACATCGGGAGTAGGGCATTCATGAAAAATAAGTTCCTCATAACCTGATCCCAAGAGATTATCAAAATTCGAACTCATAACATTTAAGTTTACAATTTATCTCTATTACTACCTGAGTTACACTTAAACTTTTTTTTTAAATATGTATACGAAAATGGGGTTTAAATTCATTTTTTTGGGTAAAAATTTTATTTTTGGAGGTAAATGGTATTTAAAAAATATGGTTTCAATAAAAAAATTTTAAACATATGTTAAGCAAACACATTATATAGTAAAAAATATAAAATTAAATCATACTTGTACACAAAAATAATCATACTTTGAAAAAGAATATTCGTCTCATGACAGAGAAACGACTAAGTTTAAAATAGTTTGTGATAAAATTAAGTCAAATGGGGCATGTGTGTCTTATTACTCTATCAAAAAATATATTTTTGACATTGTATCGTCACTTTTTACCGACTTTGGTACCGTAATCTTAACAGTTTTGGTAAAAAATCAGTCAAACCGGCATGAAACGTCAGCATTTTCATGGGTAAGCAGGGTCAACATTGACGGTGCAATGGCCAATGGTCCATGTAATTGCTTCGAAACATAGGCCGGCGTCCATGCTCACAGCCCCACCTAACTTACCTTCCACACGGCCTTCTTTCATTCATTCTTAACACTACCATCTCTCCCCTCTCTCCTCTCTCCTCTCTCCTCTCTCCTCTCCCCTCTCTCCTCTCTCCTCTCTCCTCTCTCCTCTCTCCTCGCTCCTCAAATTCAAAGCAGATTTGGGTTTTGACTTAGCCAATCTTACTTGATCCCCAAGCTCTTCTCTCTCTCTCTAGCCCCACGCGCTCTTGCATCAACCCTAACCCATACCCTTGTTATATATATACACAGCACCCACCAAAGAACCCTCCCCCATTACATCTCTCCTCCTCAAGTCTCCAAAACCCACTTCCCACAACCTCTCTCTCTCTCTCTCAACAACAAAACATTGAAACAATTGATCATATGGCTCGTTTGAGTACACTGTTCTTAGTTTCATTGCTTATATTTGCTTCTTTTGTTCCTTCTCTACATGCCCGAAAGCTCTTGGATATAAAGGAAAAGAACAAAATGACACCATCGTTGGATAGTTTGTTCCGAAGTTCCCTTCCCAAAGGCACTGTACCATCCTCTACACCAAGCAAGAAGGGTCATGCCGTCACCGTCGATGAGAAGCTCATTGCCCGCCACCTCGCCGCCGTTGATCGGATTCTCCGGTCAGTCCCAAGCCCCGGAGTAGGCCATTAGTTTCTCCCTTCAAGACATGTTAACTTTAGGTTTTCATCTTTTTTCCTCTCCCAGCTACAATTTTGGGAATTTTCTTTCATTCTTTTTTCTTTCTTGGTTTAGAAATTTTAATTATAATTGTACACATGAGAGTGTATAGAGACTTTAGGCCCTTATAATTATACATTTTAGCTTTTTTATTGTTATTCTTTTATTGGGATTATATTTTTCATTAATCTCGATCACTTTAGATTGGAAAAATGTTTCATGAATTAGTGAAACATACGAAATTGTACTCTTCAACCTTATGAACAACGTTAACAAGAGAAAACGTATGTAATATCGGTTGATACGGATAGAGGATGAGATTTGGATGTCATAGTAAAATTATTTTATTGAAACTTACGTTTTCACAAATCAAGTTCATAACAAATGCGAGTAATGTTTGTTTTTCGTTAAATGATTAGAAGTGCTCGCATTAGTTTATGCGCACTTGAACTAATCTCTCATGAACTAGGATATTCACGAGAGATTACGCATATCTCGACTAATCTCTTTTACAGTCCGGTTAAAGATAAATCATCCACACAAAAACTAAGATATTCACAAGTGATTACGCAAAACTCGACTAATCTTTTTTACGATCAGATCAAAGATAAAAACATTCATATTGAGACTAAAATATTGAAGAAAGATAAATCTTTCTTCACCTAATCCCAAAAAGTTACTAAAATTTCATCTAAATTTATAATTCCTCTCCTAATTTATATACATGATCTTAGTTAACTTGTACACACGGATCAATCCCTTGGGTCATATGATTTGTTGAGTGAATAAAAGATTGTGAAGTGGGGCCCATAAGAGGGCCGTCTAGAGTTTGACGATTTGAATGAAAAGAGAAAAGGTGAAAAAACGCGTTTTTTTTGGAGACTTTTTCTTCATAACTATATTGTCGGTTGGTTGTGTAAAGTATGACAATAATCTTAAGAAGTATGCAATATCAGTGCGCGAAAATAGTCGTTCAATGTCTGCTCATTTTACCTCTAATTTCATTGGGTTAAATTCTCTATTTGCGATAGATAAATTTAGATTCATCGTAGCGGTAAAGGTTTCTCATTTATAGAATGACTTGAGAGAAGCAAACAATAATTAGTTGTCTTACTCTTATTCTGAAGAGATTGAGTCCACGATCAATCGATTAGACGGATAAACACTTGCTATGGTATGGCATGTAAATAGTCAAAGTAATTTGTTGGATTTCTACTTCATTAAGATGTTGAAAATGAGATGAGTATAGAAATTCTAATACCATAATGACTATGAATGGAAAAAAAAGCAAAAAAAATTATAGTCCACTTTAAACCTTTTAATTGACCAGATCAGATTGTGATTAGACGAAAAGTAATGGACCTTTCAAAAGATGGGGACCTTTCTCTGACCAGATTATTAGCTTATAAAACAAGCATACCTAATCCTTGTTTGGTAAAACATGTCTAAATTCATATACAAATGTTTGTGTTTATGCACTTGTTCAAATCAAATTTGGGGTCAGTTGTAGGATTATAAACTCGAGGGTAGATCTAGCCTATCCTATTTTGATTTATAGAGGAAGGATTCCCTTGTTTGAGAACCATCATTCCCGCGTTATTCCTCCGACACCGAATATTGAATTCAAGTCAAATTATCCATAAATTGTGCCTTCCTCCTCTTTACATGGCATCTGCTTGATGAAGCCAATGATAAAGTCCTTGATATTATGGATGGTAATTTCTGACACAATGTGAAAAACACGATATAAATTGCTGGAGAAATCAAATCATGTATCAAACATATTGGCCCTAACATATGTAGACTGGCTAGCTAACACAGCTTCAAACCAACACAACAAGGGCTCCACAAAACCGCCCTTTCGCTTCAAAAAACTTTTATCACACAAGATATCATGGAAACTTTTTTTTAGCAATGAATGGGTAGTGGTTTTGCTAGATTCAAGAACAAACTAATGTCGTAATAAGTGAAATCCCAAAAAAAAATTGTGACGACAACAACCGACCGTCTCAAATAAAAAATTTTTACGATAGCACTATTGCCACAAAAAAAAAAAATTTCTACAAAACCCGCTTTTTTGAGATAGTGAACACTGCCGCCGTAAAAAACTCCTTCTCGAAAGACCTTATATTCTTATAGTGATGCTTTTATACAGGTTAATTTATTGCATACATAGGTATATATATCCTTGACAATGTGAAAGCAGAAGGAATATATATATATACATTCATCATTTCACAGGGTATACTACAATTCATCATGTGGGCTGCCCAAATTTTCCACATCATCTCTGACTCTGGTGGTTAGACCAAACTAATTCCCAGGTCATCAACATTTTCCCAGAAAGTAAGATTCACATGTCTCTCTTAAGCTATTATCAATCAACAAGAAGATACAATTAATTCTTCAAAAGATATTCTACATTTAAGAAGCTTATTTATTTGACTATATTGAAGATAGAATGAGACTTTTGTGTCATTGAAATTGAAGCACACAGTTTCTGAGAATGTGTATTTATTAGTTTTCCATGGAATTTATGGACATTCTCTCATGGTGACAAAATTAAATAGGGACAAGTTTGACACGATTCAAATATCATGCTAAGGCTAGGTACATGCACCTAAATTCAACATCTGGCTGAAAGTTAGGCAGCATTATTGTTGTTTTTTCAAAGGCACAATTTCCAAACTTATGGAGGGTTCAAAGAATCAATCGGGTCTGATATAATTCGACATCTTAGAACAATCACGAGTCTCTCTCAACTTCAAGTTGATTCGAAGATCGTCTCGGCAAGTCCTCCAAGTCACCTTCATCATCAACTAGTGTTCAATTGCTTCCGTTATGCCGTGATTTGTACTTATTATTTCATATTTAATTGTCACGTTATATTATTTTGTGATTATGTGATCAATATCTCAATGCCATCCAAATCGACGACTCATACTGTGACTGAAACAATATTTGGGGACGACTCTCCCCTTTCCCTTCCACCTTAGATCCATCATTGCTTGGATCCCCCAGAATTTGATTCCACTTTGTAACACATCCACAGCACAGTTATGACATAAATTTCGTATAATAGAGAGTCACAATCACAAAATAAAATATCCAGGAAACACAAAGCATAGTCAATTAGAGATTAGTTGATGGATCGAAGCACAAAAAAAAAAAAAAAAATCTTTTGCCAATAGAGCTTGAACCGAAAGAAGGCAAAGGCGTTTGTATTACAACCAATATATTCTATCTCTATTTATCTTAATGATAGTTCATTTCACCATATGTTGGTATGAGACCTAATAACATATAATGGGTCCGACTCAAATACGTTGTTAGATGATCTGTTAATTGTGTCGGGTGAGACGAATTCATGTTAGGTTTTAGTGGTTCGTGTCAAAAAATATTTCAATCGTACACGATTTGTTTATTAATTCGTGTCTAATGAATCGTGTCATATTAAGTACATATCATGTATGAATAATTTATATCCGATGTATAAACGAATTGTGTTATATATTTCTTTTAATTGATTTCATTCATATCTGATTCGTTTACTAATCATGTCGTGTCGGATTCATTCATTTATGAAATCTGTGGCTTAACAAAGAGTTAAACCCTCTAATTCCGTATCGCATTCGTAAACAAATAGTGTTATATTTTAATAACCTTATTAGTATACATCGAGATCATCATGAAACTCAAGTCTCAAGGGAAGGATCACCCACTAGTGAAATCTTGACTTTTGTTCACATTGAGTAGGACAGTCAAAAGGCGAATAGAATAAGGAGAAAAGAGATGGCTAGCCGGTGACATGCCGACGAGCATGGTTAGGTGAACAAGTACTGCTAGTCAAGTTTGTGATGTTTAACTTTGACTATTGCATGTTCTTTCTTAGGTGTGGCTCTCCACTCTTATCCACCAGCCACACCCTATAATAATGTATAATATTCTTGCTAGAGCAAAGCCTTGTTTCACAAAAATATTGTTATAATGTTAGCTGCGTCGAGTATGTCGAGTTTGAGAATAATTATACTCGGTTCAATTGTGATTGATCAAGTTCGACGTTAATTTTAAACTTAGATTATCATACAAATTCAACTGGATATAAGCTTGAGAGCATTTAGAGAAGTATATAAAATTAGTAGCTAATTTGACATGACCCTATTAAATTTGAATCGAGTCACATGTTGCTTGAATTTGACTTATTTTAAAAAATAAGTAATAAATCTAATCCATTTCATTTATAATTTGATCAAGCCAAAATCATTCATAGTCCTAGAGTTGTTCGGATTGCTTAACAACCCTGCTCAAGCCTCCCTTCCCCCACCAACACCGGCCCTTGGTATATGTAACTAATGATGTATCAATCCCACTTTGTAGAGGTCCAATTAGGTGTGAAAGAAATGTCTAGAGAAAGGAAAAAGTAATGTCTATGTAAAGTTAAAGTGTTTGCTGCTATTTCATGCCAAATTGATTAGAATTAAATTACTTGTTCTGCTGGTTAATGCCAAAAATTTTTAGGGTGGATTCCACTTTGTACCTTGAAAGATTTTAAGCTTCTCATTTTACACCATCAAAGATTAAATTTCTTATATTACGCCTTCAATATATCAAAAATGTTACAATTTGGCCATTGTTATATTTTTTCGTTAGTTTTTTCGTCAGTGTTAATGGGTTGATTTTGACAAAAAAAATAACTGAAACATAAAATTTAATCTTGGAAGGTAAAAAGTAAAAAACTTAAAATTTTTCTAAGTACAAAGTGCAAAAAGTTCAAACTTTTAAGATTTTGCCCATGTAAGGATCTCTAGATCCATCGGTTTGAGTGAGAAACTATTCCCATGATTTTTTTCAAAAGGTGAAAGAGAAAAGGCTTCATATATAATGATTAATTTCACCTTTTAGAAAGCCAAAAGGGTTTTATTTGGAAATGCCATAATGTTTTGGTCTATCTATTTTTCTTGATAGATCAAATAGATTCGGATTCAAAACAATGACCCAATCGACATGTTGTAAAATTGTCCCCCAAGATCAATCTCTCTATTACGGGGTTAAATGATC